TGGGTTCTCCGGCCATGAACACAGTTTATGTCTTTGCTGGTTGATAAATGAACTGGAATAGAGAAACGTTTGAGTTTGTCCGCAGAAGACAACATTTGGGAATTGTGACCTTTGGAAGACACATGGGAGGACTGTAGGGAGCAGTGTTGGGAACGTTACTTTTAAAAAGTAATTAGTTATAGTTACTGATTACTTTGTCAAAAAAGTAACTCAGTTACTTACCGCATTACGAGATTATAAAAGCAACTAATTACCAAGAAAAATAACTACTTAATTACTTTTTTCAATAAAGAATGAAAGAAAAATGGGTTCCCCTCTTAATTAAACTTACTTAATTTACTATAAATTACTACAATAGTGAAATATAAATGACTAATGACTGGAACATAATAAAATGTATGTCCAAATGTTTATTACAAACCTGAATAATTTAAATAAATAAGCACTTCTTCTCTTCTGGCACTCACAGACGCTTCCCTTCTTGCTCTTTCTTCTGATTGGAGTGGGAGGATATCTGGTTTTCTGGAAATTTGGGAAGTCGGGAGCGATTGGAGTGCGACCCGCACCTATGGCAAGCACCGTCCGGGCGGATGCCTCACAGACTGGCACGTTACTCGAGGTGAACCGTAAGCTGGACAATGTCCTTGCTGCGTTGCCGGTATTAGTGCGCAAAATGGATGTCATCACGGAGAGGGTCACTGGACGTGTGGAGATGTTTAATACCTGAATTGGCTTCACTGGAGGACTTGAATGATCAATACAGACTTTAAGGCAGAGTGGAAAATTATCTCTGCCTGACCCAAACAAAGTTCTGTTATCCAATCTGACGCCATAAGCAGCCTTGGAGTTGCGTGCAACAACCCCCACGATGGAAGGAATGCAGACAGATGCTGTGAAAACCCGACCTACCCCCCCCCCCCCCCCCCCCCCCCCGCCTTCAGATTGTGGTCTCTGCATAGCGAGGTCATCAAAATAGAGGAAGTCAATGCGCTCTGTGCTTTCCCATGACCTCCCTCCCACCTGTGGATACAGTTGGCTGAGTGCCAAACGGGCTGCTCCCGCTGAGGAAACCAGGATCCCAGCCCCCCCACCTCCCCCCCCCCAGACCTCAACCTCTAATGCCCGACGCAAAATACTAAAGGATGCTGTGCGTTGGCACTTTGCTACAGGCTCCTGCTGGATGGGATCAGATGGTTGGGAGGGAAGTGGAGGCCTGGAGGAATCAGATGGTTGTTCCTCAGCAAGTGGAAAGAAGCGGTTTGAAAGACTGAGGTCAGGTGGGGGGTTGGGATCAACCACAGGGCCTCTCCTACGGCCACGTACCACAGCCTCTGACCAAGATGAAAATTGGTCAGGAGTAGAGCTGGAAGTCGGATTTTGTGGTGCAGAGGGATCCCAAGCAATGGAGTCTTGGAGTAGAGAGTTTTGCACGGATGTTTAATCTTCAAACTCACTGACAATGACCCCAGACAGGGGCGGATTTAGGACTGAAGAAGATCCGGGGCTTAACACACATACGCGCGCACACACACGTGACACGCACTAGTCAACATCATATATGTCTTGTACCACATAATTTTTAATCTGAAGCTACATATGAAGCATTTTCAGGGCAGAGTATAGTTCCTGTTAGTGTTTAGTGTGAGATGATAGTAAATATTCCCGCTCTTTCTCCAACAACTTTACCTGATAGTAAGCTAACTTTAGGCAAACCAGCAGCACAACAAATATTTTCAAATAAGACTCACAAACCTGAGTCAACACCAGTCTCATCAAAGCTGGGGTTCTGTCGTTGTACTTTTGGTCTAAAAACGTCCTCATGTCCATCTTCACTCATGCGTTTCAGTGTAGAAGAAGCCGGCTGCTGAAGGGCTTCTTCTTCAGTGGTGGAGGCTCAGGCAGGCTGTATACAAACTACTGCCAGCTGCTCCCTCTCTGTTGGACTTTGGTACTGCATGTTACTTCCACGTTTTAGGTCCGGGGCTTCAGCCCAAGTAGCCGGGCCTAACGCCGCCCCTGGCCCCAGACAGTCCAGGAAAACGAGATCTAAAACTATCCAGCACCATTTCCTTCTTTTGCAGTTCAGCAGAGTCGTTGTATATCCTCTTTAAGGTTTCCAATTCTTTTATTTACTTTAGAAAGCATAAAGGCATCATTGTAGGGCAGAAGCAACGGGATGACAGGCATTCAAGATAGCTTCAAGGTTGCTTACAGTTTAGCTGAGCTGCCTCTGTCGGATCCGAAAGATTTGTATTCCCAATAAAGGTCCAAGAAGTCAAGGAATCCCAAAAATAAACAAAGGTCCAACAAAATCACAAAATCCAGAGATCAGTGACAGGAAAAAACAGGTTTTAAGAGAAATTAGAGCACAAAAAGTAGGAGCTGAAGTAAACACGTCTGCCACGTCTCAAGGTCCAGGTATAGTCAATTTTATGATAAAATACAACAAGATATTTTGTTAGACATGGTAAAAAGTTGGAAGAGAGCTACTGCATTTATATGTAATGCACTTACATTGCTACTGATGTAAATAATTTAGCTCTTAATATTAATAAACACAATAAGAAGTAAAATCAATAGAATAGGCTGCACAAACACAAACTGTTAGTTAATCGTGCATGAGCCCAGACACTCATCCACTGAAAAATGTTGCACACAGACCGCATGATCCTCAGATCTGTTTTATCAGATGATCAACAAGCTTCCTTTTCAAATCCCCATGCATCACGCTTGTCGGAAACTTTCTTCTGGAAGATTCTTAAGTCTTTTGTTTGCCTTTGAGCACCGTTGGCCTTTGCACTACCGGTAAATATTACACACTTAATATTAAAATAATAAACAACATTAGAAAGTGCGGACTTCACTTCATACATGATGTCATTTCCAATCGATGACTGTATTTCCTGCCTTTCAGTTTGTGCTTCCTTCACACATTCCCTAAAACCTTAAGATTCATGTTTAAAGGTCACACTCATGCATAATATTTTTCATTTTTAATGCTTCTTAACAACATTCTAATATAGTAAGCGTATATTGTGGAGATTAAAAAATAACAAAGTGGATTCTCTTGTGTTTGTCAAAAAAACCTCCACCAATGACACGTTTCAGACCGAACCACTCATCACACACTCACGTATTTACTAACAGAACACCACTGGTGTGAGGGGTTCTGCGACCAATAATATCAGAGAAGGAGAAACAGTCGGCTGCAACCACTTCAACTTTAGGACAAACTACCAGAGTCCCAAAAAGAAAAACAAGTCACGAACAACAAAAGACGATTGGACCTAGGAAACGAAGACTGATGTTTAGCACCATCTTGTTTGCTCTGGCATTGTTGGTTTCTGGTTCTGGTCCCAGAGCAGATACCCAAGGGTCGGGGTCAGTGTTCCATGAATGTATTTGCATTCAAAACCTAGCTTGTTCTACAGATTCGCTATAACAGCTTTAATCGAGCCAAAAATCTGCAAACGAGTCAGTCACACAACCCGATCACTTCTCCTCCTTTCTTTGCTCCACTTCTAATTGTTTTGGCTGATCCGAGGACCCTGCTGTATTTAAATGCAAGAAGGAAATCAGAGCCATCGCTGAAAATTACAGCAGTGACAGCGATGATGTAACTAATGATGCTGCAAAGGGAAAACACAAGTTCTGATGATCTGTGAGCAGCCTTTTAACATACTCACAGGCCTGCAGCCTCATGCGGTTAAACGGGTTTAAAGCACTTCAAGCTGCACAATCTGATGGCTCACCTCAACAGCTTCATGTTGATACAAAAACAAACTAGCATCACGTATCCTAAATGAAGATGACCGCCTAGATTAGCTGAAGGAGTACAAGATATCATTCAACTCTGCGATGGTGGAGAAACACGTCAGCATCCACAAAGCAAGTTTCCAGAACTCGGCCCTGTAGGAGTCCAGAAACCACAGTTCTTACATTTATGTACTGTTGTTAGCTTTCTATCATTTACGTTCAATCTCTTTTCAGTTACTCATTTAGTGCAAATATTTCCCTTTTTATACTCTAATTAACAAATAATGAAGAAAAAAGTAATGTAAGAAAAAATCATTTTCTCAAATTTGCATTTTTTACTTGAATTGTGTCTCCACTATTGTTTATGTTTAGTTTGGAATCATCCTGGTCAGAAGTTGCCATAAATGCACAAAGAGGAATTTGGGGAAATATTTGCAGTCAGGGAGTAAACCAATCAAATAAAGGGAGTAATTGATGGAGGATGTGCAGTAAAGCCAGGTGCACACTAGGCGAACCAGTGGCACGGAACGGCAGCTGAGCATCGCTGCTTCAAATACAATCAACTACATTCTAAGGGGTTGATCCAAACCGGCCGGTGCCGAACTTTTCAGGCGCTTTTTGCCGTGCCGCGTCGCTAAAGGTAGGACTGGGTTATCTTTTGCCGCACGCTGCTTCTGGGATGCGTCAGTTTCTGCAAACAACAGCAAGGTAAAACATCCAGTAATTTTCAAAATAAAAGTATTTCAGCGATGCAGTGTCATATCTATTTAGATAACATCTATAATTGTGACCTGACGGCTTATTTACTACCAGTATCTTTCAAGAAGTGCAATAGTGTGCTTTTCAGAACGGATGTGATCTGGTTTTTCTCCTTTGTGCTTTGATGGTGAATTAAATCACGAAGGACTTGGTGCTCTAGCAAGTCCAGTGAGGACTGCTCCCACTGTGGATTGATGTGCCACGAAAAACCTTCCCGCAGCCGCTCAGCGCCCGCAGTGTGGAGCCGGCATAAAATTTAGCTGATATCTCAGATATGATGAATGAGAAGTTATTTTTAGTATAGTTAATTTCCTGCACGTTTTGTCAATTTAAAAACGCCACAATGTAAAAATGATGGATTTTAGAACCACGAGTTTTCTCTTCATCTTCACAAAAGAAAACAGATTTGAGAGCCAAAATCCCCAAAAGAGTTTAGGACATGTTTTTAAAACAGTCGATAGTGCTGCAAGCATTGCTGGTTTTACCTTAAAATCGCAGATGCACGTGACCATGTTCCCAATTCTTAGGCACTCCCCATCAAACTTGCACGTGTTGGTGTCGCACAAAAACAGATCTGTGTCCCGGTCATCGAAACCTGGAGGAACAAAGGCAACGGGAGACATTAGTGACATTAGTTTTTTTTTTCTTCTTCTTCCTGTTCATCCCTTAGGCAATCAAAACCTGAGCCCAGTTCACAGTCCCTGGTGAGCGTGTGCCGTTAGTCATGGCTCCCAAAGGATCACATTCTCTTTGATCATGCTGTGTAATTCACAAAAGAGAAAACTGGTGCAGCCCTGGCCCTTACAATAATCCAATTAAAATGGAAAATAAGAACAAGACAACATTTTACAGGGTGAGATTTAACTCAGTTGGGAGTTTTTGTGGTGAAGATGGTGACTGGCTTGAAGAACCAACTCGTCTTAGAATCACAAATAAAATTTAGAATCAACTATTTGTTTTATTTTCCAATGCATTCATCTTTTTGGTTAATATTTGTTTGTGCACAACAGGGCCGACTCCGAGCACCGTCCTGGAGAGGCGAACCTGGGATGTGATCCAATTCAGGCTATGTTATAGATCTCAAATGACATCCTGAATCAAATCATAGTCGTATGAGCATGAGACACTGAGCTCGGGGCTGTTTGTCTACCTACACTGATTGCTCACAGATTGCCCCCCCAACAGTAAAATGGTTTACATTCAACCAAATTCCAGCTGACATAAATATGGATTTGTTGTCTTCTTTTCTCTTTGAGTAAAAAGCAGGGCTTCTTTTATTTTTATTTTGTTGCGTGAATCGTGCCGTGCACGTTAAAATCAGCACAAGGATGTTGCTCCTTTATTTAGCTGCATACATGAATACAGCTGAACTTTACTGAGGTCAGAAAGAGCTGGAGTTAAAGTGAGGTAGACCCAGGACATCTACACCTATCCATCTAGGACCTAACTCAAAAAGACACACAACAAGACACACTTACAGAAGCAGTTAAGGAGCGCTAGCCAAGCTAAAATGTTTGCAGCCTCTGAGGGAAAACCTAAAGCAGCTCAGACAACCCAAACAAGCACAGAGGCAACACGGAGACCTACCAACCAGCAGACAGCCCACAGCAAGTTTCAGCTCAGAGTCTGTTTGGCTTTAGGCAGCACTGTTCACCACCATGAAACACAAAGTCACATTTTTTCCAAACCATTTCAACAGGATACAACAAAAAACACAATCCACGTGCAATAAAGTGAACTTCTACAAACCTGTGACAAAAACATGCAAAAATACACTAGACCATTAAGTCTCTCCACTGTAACAGATGAAAACCACTTAGATTGTAAACAAAAGCCCAAATTAGATTGTCCATGTAACCTCTGACGAAACACCTCGTGTTTGGAACGAGCTCCTTGGTTTGTGTTGGTCCTTCTGTTTGGAGCTACCTGGTGTTATGTCCAGATGTGTTCGCTTGTCAAAAATTGTCTTGGTGTTCTCACTTGTCCTTGATACTAACTCTATGCATGCAACAACCTAGAGCTTTAAAGCTGACACACTTTTATAATGTTGCTGTGGTCTCTTATATGAATAAAAATCTTGTGAGTCGTTCTCTGTGGAAAAAGCTCTGGCTCTCCTGTTTCAGGAAGTAGACGTTAGTCGGAGGAGAAGGGGGCACAAAACGACAGGATTTGGAGTCAACTCATTAATATTCATAATATTTGGACATCCAGCCTCGGATTGGCTAACGGCAACATTGTTCTTCCACTGTCTCCACACGCTCAGCAATGTTGATGTTTTATCTCCAATAACACAAGCCTGAAAGAGTTCTGCAGTTTAGTGGAGTTGCTAATGCTAACAGTTAGCTTCTACTAGCTGAGACGTGTTCATCTCTCTCCTGGATGCTAAATCCACAACAGCCTTCCCTGTCATGAGCCAAAATGGGTGTGTCCATGAATGCTGATTTCCAGTGTGACGTAGATTGGTGTGGCTTTTTCTGACCTGAGCATTGCCTGTCTGTTTTCTTTCTTAAGCTAATGCAGGAAATGGGACAGAAGACTAGACTGGACTCTAGTTTCATTTTCAGCATATATATGAAACTCAGACTAACCATATTTTTAAAAAAGAACTATTCATTTCTCAGTGAATATCATCTTCAAGTTACTTCAAAGAAGAGATTAATATCAGTTTATTTAGGTAACTACTGACATCAGACACTGACAGTGGATATTATTCAGCATTGTCGTTTACAGAAATTAAGTGTTCTTCAATTTTTAACAGTGAACTTGTGTTTTCTTTTGTTTTTATTCAAACTCCCTACGCTTTGGTTCATTCTCTTGCTGTAAAAGTGCAACCTAAAATATTTATTTTCACGTTCTCAAGTGGAAGAGACGAGATTCTCACCAAACGTAAAAAATGGACTTAATCCAACTTAAGACGTAAACAACTGATGAATTGCCTGCAGGTGTATTAAGTCTCACGTACAATATCATATCATATAAGTCAACTTTTTCCTTTAGAAAGAAAGAAACGGATATTTTATATAACGCCTCCTAAGATAAAAATTAGGAGGCACTTCACATGAACAAAAAAAAGATTAAAGTACAAAACAGATTAAAAAACTATCAAAAATATGTTCAAAATGAGAAAAAACATTAAATTGAGATAAAAAAATAATGGAAGGAAAGGGAGAGATAATGAATAGGAAATAGGGAAATCAGTGGATCTCCTTTAGCTGAGGAGCCAGTGCAAGAAGCAATAAAACCTATAATGCTGACCACTGAAACCCTGACACTTTGTAAGTGCTGGTAGGTAGTACAATATAAGAAAAGGCTTTCTAAAAAAATAAACAACCTCCTGCTACAGGAAAAAGAGACTGGCATGTGTAATGAGCACATTCAAATACAACACCTTGAATTAAAGCTATGAGCTGTGGCCTCCGCCGCTTTGAGGCTGTGAATTTCTAAGTGTTTGTGTTTAATGACGCATTAGATAACATAATACAGAAAGTCAAGGGGAGCTTGAAGTCGAGAGGCCATGGTACAATTAGAATTTCAAGCTCCATATGAACATCAAAGATGCTCATCTTTCAAGTTTAAAGACAAACCGTGTGGGCTTCGTTGGTATATTTGTCTCTATTCATGCTGCGCTGCCTCCAGGAAGGTTGTTTGAACTCGAACGCAAATCTTGCACAGTTTTTTTCAGTCCATGTGGATCAAATCATCCACAGTGAAAGTGACAGTCACAACATAAAATGCATCACTCACTTCAGACGAAATACACAGAAATCCCGAATCATGTTGGGAAAGGCACCGTGCTACGAAGGAGGGTCCGTGCATGTTCTGCATATTTGTGACTGGAACTGTGAATCACTGTTGCTGTAATGAGTTCAGGTGTAGCAGGTCACTGTAATTCTAGTCCTGATGGGGGTTTTAAATGAGGTACAGAGGAAGATGCAGCCATCTTTATCCAGTGTGTGCTGCAAGTCCCTACAGCATACACTACTCTCTAACTGCATTATTTCCTGTTATTTTAACTGTTAACTAAGTGTTTTGTGTCTCCAAGGAAGCTACACCAGGTCTGGCATTTTGCTGAGCTGTGAAACCTTCCTGGCCATCGGCTGACACACTACTGCCAACTAGGGATGAGCGAGTACACCACTATCTGTATCTGTTCAACCATCTAAACTATCTGTCTCCGTATCTGTACTTGGAGTGGGCGTGGCCTAACCTGGAAATGGGTGTAGTTTAACCAATACGTTATTTTAAGTCTGATCAGAAGTTGCTATGTGTATTGTTTATTTGAACACTTTACAGAGCAGCCTCAGACAGGCGCGTTGCAAGCTTTTCAAAAGTGTGGGGGATGTTGTCTGTGCCTAAAATAATTTCATGTTATTCATCTTGTTAGTTTAATTTCCATAATAGCGGAGCAGGGGCGAACTTTAGACGCGTCACGCATGTCTCCGTTTTAAACATGTTTAAACTGTTCAGAATACAAATCCAGGCTCTGTCTCGTTAGATTGGTGTAACTAAAGTTTGTACTGAATGAAACTTTATATTAAACCATGTTGAAAAGAAAAAGATCTGATTAAATCGTTTCCCCTCATTTACAGTCAGGAAGTACAGCGCAGTACGCGTGGCTCTGGGGTTAACCAGGTTTAGTTGTTTCTCTTTGCAACAATCTTCACAAGAAGGCAAAACAGTTAAATGGCAGGTTACAGATATTTCCATTTGACTTTTATTTTGACGGATAAACTCAAGGATGTTGGTTGTTTTGAAAGAATTACCCCGACGCACACTGATGCACACATGGATGAGCTGACATTTTAATCGTTACGCACATCGCAGAGGTAACTAAATCAATCAAGGAATGATTCCCATCAGAACATCAGAGCTTTATACTGGACACTGTGCTCAGCGCGGCTCGGAGCGCACACGGTGGACAGCAGGGATGTGTATTTTTTGAAATTCTGGCGATACGATACATATCACGATACAGGGGAGACGATACAATATATCACTATATATTGCGATACATTCAGTCAGACGTAACAAGCTTTTTTTTTACTGAATTTATTGTAAGAATGCTCAATAAACAGTCCAAACTGATACATAACATGTTTAACATGAGGTATCTGAATCATGACGGAGGGATTTACAGTTCAATGGTGGAGACAAAACCCGTTGCACGCCGCTGCCAACTAGCGGGTGGCGATTGAATTGCACAAAACGAAAAGAAAATACACAAAACTTTGCATGTAAATTCTTTCTAGAATTAGATACACAGCTTTTGAATATGGATGTAAAAATCGCAGGAAAAAATATCACGATATATTGCCATATCGATATTTTCTTACATCCCTAGTGGACAGTGAGCTGAAGATCTGTAGAAGGGTTTGCAGCGCAGTGCAGAACCACGACGCATGCGATAAGATTTCCTCCCACTGAAGCTGTCTGGAAAGCCGGTCTCTCTGAGGGATGTGTCACTTGGAAAAATGTTCTTTGATTACGAAACTTTGGCTGAACAGCGCTTGTTCCCGTCTCTAATATGGAGACACATGACGCATCCAGTCTGAGGCAAAATAGCCTCTTCAGCTCAGCAAGCACCTGTAGAGACAT